TGTGTGCATGTGTGCCTGTGTGCATTTGTGCCTGTGTGCATGTGTGCTTGTGTGCATGTGTGCCTGTGTGCCTGAGTGGATGTGTGCATGTGTTCCTGTATGCATGTGTGCATGTGTTCCTGTGTGCATGTGTGCATGCATTGATCATCTCTCCATCCACCCACACACCATTCATCCACATATTCACCTATCCACTCACTGACCCACCTGTCAGCCATTCATCCATCCAACTGCACGCCACTTTCATTCGTTAGCGGGTGCATTTAATTGAGCACACACCATGTTCTCTGGGTTCTACTGGGTCTTGTTTCTGTGCATTCTACAGTCTTTGAGTGTGACACAACACACAATGCAATGTGAAGATGAGTATAATAGACTTAGTGACCTCTGAACACAGTAGGGTGGGAGTCAAAGACACGAGAAGGAGCCCCAGCTATGATCCGAAGAAGACTAGAGTGGAAGGAAGTGGGAGAGGTGGATGTGAGGACTTTGGGCAAGAGGAACAGTTCTGGGTGTCCATGAACTGAAAGCTGAGCAGTAGGAGATGGCTCTGCAGGGAGGGCTGAGGCTGGGAAAGTACAGGGGGTATGGGGGAGGTGACTGGACTGAGGGTATTGGGGAGGGGGTATGGGGAAAGATTGCTGGGTGTTAAAATCGAGAAGGCCCTGGGATGACATTTCTGTGCTACCTTTCACTCCAGCTATGTGACAAGGGTCCCAAACTGTTGAAGGTGATGAAGTGCTTCCAGTCCATCTACCTGCTCTGTGACCTAGAGCATCCTAAGTCTATCCCAAACCTTAAGATCCATGCCTGGGAAGAGTCTTGGATAGAAGCAGGGACCTCTCAGGATAAAAGACCCAGGATTCCACTGGTCCAGCTCCTTCTGGTCAAAGTAGGGAGGAGTCTCGATGCCTCTAGCAGCTAGAGTCTACCTGGTTTTGCCCCAAGGACTCCCTTGAGGCAGGAGTTCAGAGGTGGGGGTGGGGGCAGGAGAGGGAGTCAGAGACTCCCTCTGAACACGGGGGGTCATGATTCTGGCTGCCCTGAGTTGGAGGGATCTGGATGTGGCATGCCCAAAGATGCTAGGACATTCCATTTGGAAGGTCCCCGGGGAATCCACTTCATTGCTAGGATAATGGAGCAGATACGGCGTGGGTAATCCCTGGCGAGGAAAGCCCCTCACAAATGCCGCTCCATGTTGCTTCCCCAACAGAGTTGAACAGTAGCCTGGCCCTATATTCACCTCTTTTTGTCTTTACCACTTACGCTAGGATGGACAGCTCCGACCTAGTGGCTGGGCTGTTTCTCTGAGTTCATGCTAGTCTCCCAGCTCGCCTCTGTGTGTGCTCCCTCTGTACCTCTGCCTATTCTCTGCCATGGGTATACGAATGGCTCTTCCTGCCTCTCTGGATAGGAATTCTACCTGTAAAGACCTTCAAATTGCTACATTCTCTTAGACGGCCCTCTAAAGTGTCTCTCTCACCTGTAGCCTCCTCTCAATTTCCTGGGAAACCTCCCCAAGAGCAGACAATAGGCCGCCAGGACCCGAGGGCACACCTAAGCAAATGCTGGCCTGCCTTCCTCCAGTCAAGAGTTCAAACTCTGTTCCTGCTGCTGGCTGCCCTGCTGCTTCCCTAGAAGGACAGGGGATTTGGGTCTTTCTGGAGAAAAGATCTCAGTGTGCAGTCGATCAGAAGCCTTGAAACCCATGTGGGGAGTTTCCGAAGCGGTCCTAAGGCTGCGTCCCTGGCAACAGAGTTGTTGATTGCAACATAATCATTCGTTACTGTACTCCAGCACAGAGTACCATGTGCTGGCCTCTGCCACAGGATCCTGGGCAAGGAGCCACCAGGAAGGGGGTGCAGGAGTGAGGGTGGGAGTCGGGGAGGAGGGTTGCAGGGGTGCAGTGAGGTTAAGAGATACCCGTAAAGATCAGCAGACAGCTTCTTCCCACCTCTCCCTCAAGTGTGATGTTCCTGTCTCCAAGTTACAACCTCCTATCTGATTCTGATACCAGACCAGTCTTAACTGGGACATTGCTAGACATATATAATCTTCTCTGTGGCCACAAAGGCAGTGAGCCTCCCCTGCATCCTCTCTGAAGCACTGGAAGCCCGGCCTGGGGAGCAAAAGTGCAGGCAGAGAAGCTAAAGGCAAAGACACTACTCGGCTGTGACTGTGGGGAGGGCAGAGAATCAGGCAGCCACGGGACTCCATCCAGAGAATCGCTAGGATGGGCTGCCAAAGGAAGAGCCCACGTTTGCCAGTTCCACCATCTCAGTAGGCTCCTGGGAACCATGTAGACTTCCCCCTACAGTGGATGAAATCGACACCCAGAGAACATTTGTGAGATGCCCTAGGTCACAGAGAAACAATGCCCCAGGACCCAAACAACAGGGAAGTTTGGACAAAGTAAGGGAAAACCCAAGCCTCAGGACCTGAGACAGCCAGCATCCTGCAGGGGAGAAAGGATGCCCGGACTTTCTCCTCTTGATCCCTGGAGTGTCCCTGGGACTGGTGGACTTATACTCTGAGCACTGTTCCCAAGAGTCTAGTCTCAAGAAATAATGGCCGCTGTTCTTACCATTGCTCCCCTACACCCACCCCGAGACAGGGGTAGCCCTGGTTTTCTTGGAACTCACTCTGTAGACCAGGCTGTCCTCAAACTCACAGAGATCCACCTGCCTCTGCCTCCTGAGTACTGAGATTAAAGGTGTGTGCTACCACCACCAGACTCTTACCATCACTGCTTCTAGTGAAATTGTAATTGCGGTTCAACGATTAATATGGGGCCAGAACTGATAGCATGAGATGGGATGAGGGGGGATGGAGTATCCTTGCAAACTGCCTCTGGTCACTGAGGGGCAAGGAGAAGCCAGGCCCAGAACTCAAGTGTCAGAATCAAAGCCAAAGCGCCTGCAGGTCCCCACTGCCCTGCCCGCCACAGTACTGCACACCTGGGGACAGGTATTTAGAGAATGGATTGCTTTGGCCTGGGAAGGCCTCTTAATCTGGGAGAATGAGAAAATTTAGTGACACTGTTGCCTTACAGCAGGATCGAAGGAAAATGGAGACAGGAAGGGAAAAGAGCCCCTCAGCCTGGGTCTGTTTCTTGCTGGCTGAGAGCCAAGAGTTCTAACAAAATGCCAGTTGGTAGAGCACCTGCTAGCACATGCCTGCAAAACACCTGTGCACATAAATGTAAAAAAATAAATAAGATATTAATAAATTAAAAATTTAAAGAGTAAAACACATGGTGGCACATGCCTTATCTGTGAGGTGCCCTGGGACAGGCAGCAGAGCCGTGGCGTTTCCCTTTATTATGAGAGGGTCTCACTGGCACCTGTGAACTCTGGTGACTCAAGCTGGCCTCAAACTTGAAACCTTTCTATCTCAGACTCCCCAGTAGCTGGAATGCCAGGCCTAAGCCACTAGACCTGGTTCTTTTTCTCAAACCCTAGCTTTGCTCCATAGTGACTTGTCCTGAAACTCCTTTCTGGGTACTGTTGTCACAGTTTCAAGATAGACTGAAAGTTCTACACGGGTTTCGTAAAAATCTTCTTGAGAAGGCCGGGCGGTGGTGGCGCACGCCTTTAATCCCAGCACTTGGGAGGCCGAGGCAGGTGGATTTCTGAGTTCAAGGCCAGCTTGGTCTACAGAGTGAGTTCCAGGACAGCCAGGGCTACACAGAGAAACCCTGTCTCAAAAAAAAAAAAAATCTTCTTGAGACCTGGCGATCGATGCTGAACAGGTTTCCAGTGCAGCCTCTGGCATGTGGCTCCTATAGAGGTGAGCATCTCTGTCTCTGTCTCTCTCTCTCTCTCTCTCTCTCTCTCTCTCTATCTCTATCTCTATCTCTATCTCTATCTCTATCTCTCTATCTCTCTCTCCACTCCACTCATAACAGAGGCGAGATGCCCCATTTCAGGGACCTGAGCTTTCCAATCCGCTGAAGCAGACATGTGGATACACAGTTTTTAAAGCCCCACTCAGCTTAGCCTCCTGGGGTAAGGGCCAGCCTGGGGAAGGACAAGAAGACAGACTCAGCTTCAGCTGAGCCTCTGGTTTCCTCAGAACAGGATGGAGCTAGGCCTTTTCTACAGAACATCCCTGTAATCTGTTCACTCTCCTGTGGACCTTCTGGACCCCAGAGCCCTGACCGGCATAGTCCCTAAGATTCTCACCCTGCCTCCACAGTGCATCAGGCTCAAAGGAAGTTCACCAGTACTAGGACAAGGGATGAAATGAGTTGAGGCTGAGGCCCTGGATCCTCCTAATAGAGGAACCAAGAGTCCTTTGAAAAGAGAAGTAAGTCATTGTCATTCTCCTAGACACAGACCCCCTCCTCTGTCCTGAGTCGAGTGACCATTCTCTGGAAAGCCACAAACATTCCCAAGCTGGACTTCTACTAAATTATCTCAAATTCTTTGAATTTCTCTAGTCTGGAAGGATTATAGGAGGGGACAGAAGGCGTGGGATGACCTCCAAAGAGGTTAAATAGGTCAGTCACCTCAGCACTGGGCACCAAGACAAGCAGAAGGACCCATGAAGACCTTCAGCTGGGCTTCTGGTTCTATGATGTCACTTCAGATGCTGCTCCTGGCTGCCCTGATTCTGGGGACTTCTCTGCAGCATGCCAGCGCTGGTGAGAGCTGGGTACAGACAGGGTAGGGCAAGTGGGAGCCACTCACCCGCACAGAGGCCACAGCAGAGACACAAGCTGTCTGTTCTTACTTGGGTCACAATGGGTGGCCGCAGGAGCACTAGAGGGAGGATAATGGTACTGAGGATGGTGGGGGTGATGGGGGTGATGGGGTGATGTCTGGCACCTGACCTGGACACACACCTGGAACACCACAGGGCAGCTCAGCTCATCCTGAGATGTTAGGGCATAGTGGCCTTGATTGTGGGCTTGTGATACAGAACGAACGATTCTCAGAATTGCTGTCATTTGCTTCATTAATGAGCTCCATGTATCATCAGGGAACAACATAACAACGGAGAACTGGTTCCAAGAATGTATGAAAAGATTTTTTATATTTAGTTTAGAACGGGAAGTTGAAATGAGGTCCCTGGATTCAGACAGCTGCACATGCAGACACACACAGATGAATATACAAACATGCAGACACAAGGAAGACACACACACACAGACACACACACACACACACACACACACACTCACCAGGAACAAACAGAATACAAAGAGAAGTACTGGCAGTTACCGCCCATAGGCTCACATAGGCATACGTCGGAACATCCCAGGGGTCCTCAGGCACAGGCCTGACCCTTAGGACACCTACTTCCTACTGCTCTTCCAGCTCGAGCCACCAATGTAGGCCGAGAATGCTGCCTGGATTACTTCAAGGGGGCCATTCCCATCAGGAAGCTGGTGACATGGTACAGGACCTCACCGGAGTGTCCCAGGGATGCTGTCGTGTGAGTAGCCCTCTGTCCCACCCCTATGCCTAGAACCCAGAGCGGGAAGTGGGTGGGCCTTGGAGTCCCAGGGAAGGCCACTGGGAAAGAGGGAAGGAGAGTACAAACCTGGTTCCCCTGGACTGGCAGCTTTGAGCACCCAGGGAAGCTCCTGTACCCCACACAGCTGAGGGGGTCCAACCTCTTTAAGTACGTTGAAACTGAGGCTCCAAGATGGATAGGACATCCCAGGTAACAGAGCCAATAGGAAGTAATATCGTCACCCCTCCCCCCTGGGTCTGAGTAAACAAAACACAGCCCAGGGCTCCTTTTCTCACTTCTACTCTTCAGGCTCAAGATGCTCTGCAGGGAGGGTGGGGGAGGGAGTCAGGCATAAAGTCCTACAGCTCTGGCCCTAGGGAGGCTGGGATGGAGTCAGGATCCCAGTAGGAAAGAATCGCTAACGGCGTGTGTAAGGGAGCTAGCTCAGTGTTCAGGTCAATGCAGGTGTGGCTGGTTGCCAATTTCCTGACTCTTACTCACTGCCTTCTGTGTAGGTTTGTGACTGTCCAGGGAAAGCTCATCTGTGCAGACCCCAAAGACAAGCATGTGAAGAAGGCCATCAGACACCTAAGTAACCAAAGGCTGTGATCTTCCCACCGAGGCTTTCGGAGACTCCAGGGCTGCTGTCCATGGTCTCAACCTAAAGCTGCCTGTGTCCAGTGGAGGCTTTGAGAGCCCAAGAGCAGCCACAGAGCAGGAGTTCCTGTCCCCCTTTGATGGACTTTTATGTGCTACAGGCACACACACAAGAGCACCGAATAAAGTCTTCCTCCCTCAGATTGGGTCAGTGCATTTTGTTCCCACAACTCAGAATGCCTTCCACTCTGGCTGGTCACACCAGAAGGGTCCTCATTGAGCAGTTGGGCCTGCTCAGCCGAGGTTAACTGAGGCTGAGAGGAAGACATGGTTCCATACAAGTGAGAGGTGGAACTGGGGAGACATGGTCAAGGGCAAGGCAGAGCAGAGGTAGAGAAGGAGCCCAGCAGGACCCTCACAAGTGTCCCCCCTCCTTCTGCAGCCCATGGAAAGTATCCAAAGGAATCCCAAGGAGGGCCTGTCCTCTCTGTTCCCCAAGTCTCCCAGTCACTACAAGACCAGCCCCTATTATTGTCCCACATAAAGCTGAAGTCATCCTTCCTGCACTGGATTCTGTCACAGACATGCACATTCTCTGTGTGCCTGTCTTCCTGGAGGCCCTGTCTTTCCTCCTTCATTTCTGAGTCCCCCCCACTGCAGTCTGTCTGGCTCTGGGAAATGGTCAGCCATCCCCTTCCCGTGTCTTGGCTGACTCTCTTACATGCAACTTAGCTGTACACTAAGCTGGCTTCATGAGATCCTGGGTCCTCTGTGGTTTTTCAGAAGACCCATCACCTAAGACTTGATGGCCACTTCATCTCCTTCCGCCCTCAGGCTCCAGCAGATCCTATGGTCACAATTCCTCCCCAGTTCCCTCTGCACATGGACCACTGTTGATACCATCCACACAGGCCCTGGGATTTCTTCTTCCCAAGCTCTTAGGGGCTGGGTGCCTTGCCACTGGGCTCTGAAGCTGGCGGCTCACCAAACTATGCTTATGTGTGCTTGCAGACCTGGCTCTGTCATTCTACAGAGGGCTCTACAAGCACTCTGGGACCACTGTGAGCCACTGAAGGAATGGCACAGGAGTCTATGAGGGCCCTGTGTCCAAGCCTAGCTCAGAGCTGCGGTTAGACTATGGAGAGAGTTAGGGTTTCGGTGTTCCGGGTCATCCATGTCCACTCAGCATGCCTCTCTTTCTAGGTCAGGTTGTAGCACAAGTAAGGGTCCTTCTCTTCCCAGGAGTTTGCCAGGCTAAAGTCTGGTTGCAACAGTTATCTGAGGGAAGGGTTTTTTAACCTGTTGCTGCCATCTTGCGGCCAGATTTTGCCTTACAAAACGAATGCTAAGTGTCCCGATAGGGGTAGAACCAAGAACAGCACATCAACAATCAGAAGGCTAGTGGCCATGAAGTGGTTTCTCTGTGAACACAGGGTTCCTTCTACCATAATAGGCTTCTATCCCTTGAGCACCAGGAGTGCCCCTCCAACAACTGCTTAAGAGTCTGAGTCCTGAGGCATCTTTTGCTGGGTCTTTGTGGGGGGAAAAAGCCTCTGAATCCCAGGGACTAGAGAAAGGATGGTTGGTGGGATGGAAGAGGCAAAGGGGAGCCCCTACTGAAGGAAGAAGATCAAGGGCTGGGGCCTGAAGGCTTGCACCCTGTGTTCCAGAACCAGGGTGCCCTCACTCAGAGTACGCTTGGTCCTGCTCACTCAGCTTTTCTTTGCTCTTAAAGTCTTCCAGAGACACCTGTTAGGTAAACTCAGTTAAGCAGTGCAGTTCCAAGAGATTTGTGAGCCCTGGAGAGAGAAAAGGGGTTGTTTCAAGGCCACTGGGCAGAGAAAATGTGGGGCCACAACTGGCAACAAAATGCAGGGTTCTGACCCAAGCTGACCACTTGGGAGAGTACAAGGAGTGTGTGGTGATAGCCCCCACATCCCTGGGGACACTCTGAGGAACTGTGGCTTGAAGGCTCTCATACTTAATGAGAGAGGGGTGGAAATGGGGATAGGGAGGGGGCGGACAGTGAGGAGGGATACAAACATCCGTTTGTCCTTCTGTCTTGAAAGTGCCACCCTTGACCACTTCTGAAACACAGTTTCCCTTCGGTGCTCAGTGTAAACACCATCACTTCCACCAGACCTTCCAGGGTCTTCCTACTTTTGTAGGACACCCCCATCCCAACATATACATGCCTAATCTTGGCCAAGTGTCACCTCTGTCACTTAGGGGGTGGGGGAGGCTTAGATTCGCCCAATAAGTTTATAGTCTCTGATAACTTGGGTCAGCTAACTCAGTAAATGAATTATTTATATAGTGGACATTTGACAACATATTTTGTCAACAAGGGCTGGATGAACTCCTAAAGGAACACCTATGGGGAAATAAATTTCCAGAGAATCCCTAACACTGAAATACCCTTTAGGATGTGGAAATTTCGGGGAGGGAGGCACTTGAGAGGGAAAGGGGGGAGGCAGGGGAGAGGGGAACCTGGTCTGGTATTGGGTGAGGGAAAAGGACTGAAGCTCTGAGGGCCAACAGAAAGAATGGAAACAGGCAACCTCAGGAGGTAGGAGGTAGGCAGGACCCTCCAGAATGCACCAGAGACCTGGGAGGTGAGACTCTCAGGACTCAAAGGGAGGCACCTTAGATGGAATGCCAGACAGTAGGGAGAGGGAACTTACAGAGCCTACCTCCAACAGGAAGACAAAGCATCAAGGGAGGGGGTTGCCATCCCACAGTCAAAAACTCTGACCCATAATTGTTCCTGTCTGAAAGAACTGCAGGGATGGAAATGGAGAGGAGCCTGAGGAAAAGAAGGTCCAGCAAACAGGCCCAAAGTGGGATCCAGCTCAAGGAGTGGTCCCAAGGCCTGACACTATTACTGAGGCTATAGAGTCTCACAAAAAGGGACCTATCATGACTGCCCTCTGAAAGACCCAACAAGCAGCTGAAAGAGTCAGATGCAGATATTTGTGCCGAATCAATGGACAGAAACTGCTGACCCCTGTGATTGAATTAGGGAGAGACTGGAGGAAACTGAGGAGGAGGGCGGCCCTGTAGGAGGACCAGCAGTCTCAGTTAACCTGGACCCCCAAGATCTCTCAGACAATGGACCACCAACCAGGCAGCATACACCAGCTGATATGAGGCCCCCAACACATATAGAGCAGAGAACTAGTGGGACTGGATTCAATCAGAGACAATGCACCTAACCCTTAATAGACTGGAGGCCCCGGGGAGTTTAAAGGTCTGGTGGGTGGGGAGTGGGGAGTGGGGGGTGGGTGGGGACATCCTCATGGAGACAGGAGGGTGGGGAGGCGGTATGGGATGGCGAACAGTCAGAGGGTGGACTAGGAGGGAAATAAAATCTGGAGTGTTAATTAATTAATTCATTCATTAAATTTAAAAGAAAATGTGGAAATTGAAATTGTGCAGTTCTTCCAAAAGCCCACCAGGGGCGCACTGTCACAGCAATAGAGGTCCAAGATTGAGATTGATGATAGCCACACACACTCTGGTCTCTGCTGATTGAAGATAGGGAAGACCTTAAACAGGGGTGTCTGAAGCTTGTCGGATAGTCCCCTGGGGGAGCAGAGGTCAGGAAACCACCAAATACACTACCAGAGTTAACAAGATGGGGTTGTGGAGGATTACAGGGGCTTGCAGAGCCACCAACACCAGGAGCTTGGGCAAACTCCAAGAACGCACAGGCTTCTAACTCCTTCCCCTGTAACTGTCTATCATGCACTTATCACAAGGCCACAAATACCGAATGGTGTCTGATTACCTGTGACTCAACTTTTGTGAGTTTTAAAAGATCATTATAAGCTAGGCATGCTGGCTCATGCTTGGAATCCCAGGATCTGTGTTGTATAAGCATTAATTGGGTGTTTCTACCCCACCTGAGACCAGCCCAAATAAAAGACACAAAACCTTTCTATTTATAATGCACCTTTAAGCACTAGAGCAAACCAGATATTAACCCTCTATGCTATTTTGTCTACTTCCCTGTCAAAATCCTGAGATATCACTTGCCATGTTCTGCCTGGACCAACTGGCCAGCCCTCCTGGCCCTCCCCTCATGATCCACCAACCCCATGGTGCCTTATTCCCCCTTCTCCTTACCCTTGTGGTCTCTCCTCAGACCCCAAGATCAGGAACCAAAGCCCCGCCTACCTCTCTTCTGCTCAGCCACAGGCTGTAGGCATCTTTATTCAACTAATAGTTTTAAATTAAGGGGCAAGGTTTGCAAACAAAAGCTGGCATTCGTGATAATTCATTCATCTTAAGGCAACTAGACCTCGGGATACAGAATTTAACTTTACAATACATAGACAATACAACAGAGCAAACCTCTGTACACCTGGCAGGTGCAGGCAGGAGCCAGCTTCTGTAACAGTGCGTCTGAGGGAAGCCTGGAGTGCAGGAGAGCCTAACTCCAAAACGAAACAAAAATGACAGTGTAAAGTCAGAGGCAGTGGAACATACCTGTAGTTCCAGCTACTTGGCAAGCAGAGGCAGAAGGATTGCTTGCATCCAGGAGCAGGCTGGGAAATGCAGAGAAACCCTTTGTCTTGGTTATTTTTCTGTTGCTTTGGATCAAAACGCAACAAACGATCAATGCCATTTATAAGAGCTCACTTCTTTTTGCTTTTTTTTTTTTTTTTGCTATGAAGCCCTGGATGTCCTGGAACTTGCTCTGTATAGACCAGGCTGGCCTCGAACTCTGAGATCTGACTGCCTCTACCTCTCAAGAGCTGAGACTAAAGGTGTGCACCACCATCAGGCTCTGAGATTTTTCCAATGACTTTAACTTTTTAACCAAAAACTTTCAGGACAAGTCAGTATGACGTATATTTTGTATTTACTAAGCGGCTTGGTGGTAAGGAGCACTTGCTATTCTTCCACAGGACCCCAGTTTGATTCCCAGCACCCATGTGGTCACTTACAGTTGTCTTCTTTGGGCCTCCAAAGGTACCAGGCATGCACATGGTACACAGACATATATGCAGACAAAACACCCATACGGCATACTGGATTAAAGGCATGCACGACCATGTTCAACTAGGAATGTTTTAAAATGAGATCATAGGGTGGATTCTAGGGTGCCTTGGAGAGGAGTATGGGCTAAAGAGAGAAAGCCATAGACCTCAAGGATTAAATTAAATCCTATTATCCTAGGTTACAAGGGAATTAAG